GATCACCCTCTTCCTGCAGCGTTGAGAAAACCAGGTCCAGCGTGTGTCCATGTTCATGGGTCGGGCCAGTGACATGTTGAGACAGCCCCATGGCCGTCATGGAGGCCATGAAGTCCTGAGCCATCCCGGTCAGAACAGTCTCAGCATGGAGTTTGCAGTCCCCCAGGACCAACATCCTGGGGGTCTTCAATACCAGGTCCGAGACAATCTCCGTCAGCTCAGGAGGGGAGTCTGATGGGCAGAAGGGTGCACGGTACACCAGCAGAATCCCCAATCTGTCTCGGTCACCCAACATCAGGTATAAGCACACTAGACCTGGTCTCGAGAGAACAGGAAGCCCCGCAAGGGAAACTGAAGCTTGATAGATTAAAGCGACCCTCCCCTCCCCTCCTCTCCAGGTGTGGCTGGTGCTGGACTAGATACCTGGGCGGGCACAGTTGAGAGAGGGACACATTCCCTCCCTCCCACCCAGGTCTCTGTAATGCAAGCCAGTTCGGCCCCCTCATCCACAATTAAGTCGTGGATGAGGGATGTTTTATTATGGACCGACCTGGCATTAAGCAACAGCACCGTCAGGCCTGAGGGGCGGTTGATAAGCATACCCGGAACCTTCCGGTTGGAGGAATAACCAGAAGAGGGAACAGGTGTCAACCATCTGTCCCTCCTCCTTCTATGCCGACACGTTAAACCCCCAACGCCATATCGACCATTGCCCAAAACCACCCCAATGGCAGCGCCCACGTGCTCCCCAGGCAACCCCATAGTAGCAGCCAGGCATGAATCCATTCAAGCAATCTATTAAAGTCCAATTAAAATCCAATTAAAATACAGTAAAACCCACCAACCCACCCAGTTACAAAAGCCCACCCACACAGAGTCCGTGTCCTGGCCAGCATGCGCGTTCATGCTCACATTACAAATGTGATTAAGCCAGGACCACTTTACACTTCAAACGTGAAACTGCTTGGAATGTGCAAGAAGATAAAGGTGGACACGCACACCCGCACACACAATAAGGAGCACACACATTGCAGGTTGGGATACAAAGGTGGCTCCTTACATAAAAAGATGAATTCAGAATAAATAAACCTCTGCAGCAAGAAAGTCCCTCTTGCTGGTTTGGTTGAAATTTTTTAGGCTAAAAATAATATCCTTAATTATTTTATTATATATTTTTATTATATCTTGTGAGTGCACAGTCATGTTGATAAGTATAGGATATAAATTATATCCTGGCTGGAGAAAATTGGAATCCAAGCCATCCAGAGCACACTAGTTTGGGAAGACTTAGCTGAATGGTATGCAAATACAATTCATCTTGTGTCCGCAGAGACAGAAAGCACGAGGCTTACAAAGTGATCAACCAGTTCCTTCCCCTTTGTCTCTTCTCACAGAGGCCATGGACGCAGATCTACAGAGCTCCGATAGCTGGATGAAGCCGCGGCTGGATTCCCTGCCCAGTCTCACTGTCCATTCCTTTTCCTCAGAGTAGCCCCAATAGCCCTCGGTGACACAAGTAGCTCTGAGACTCCAAAAGACACCTTCACGTTTCCCCAAACCTCCCTAGTTTCTGGGCATCGTGAAAGCTGTGTGGGGAGGGCAGACGATCCACTCAAGGTTCGTTAGCGCCTTTTTGTCCTTGCAAAGGCAACATTTGCAGAAATGCTTCCTTGTGGGAAAGTCGCCTTTCCCGTCACAATGGGTTGCATCAGAAACCCAAATAAAACCAGGGCAGCTGCTGAGAGACAAAAGGATGTTGCATTCACTTGAGGAAGAAAGAGGCTGCTAGCGTAAGAATCAGGATGATGGGCCATGGTAAGCAAGCAGTTCTGTAGCGCTTCTGACAACCTGCGAATACCATGACCAGCTGGAAGTGCTGCAGGGCGCTTCCCGGATGGTTCCTCAGGAAATCTGGCCAAGGTGCCTGCACAGTCGGCGTTCAGGTAAGGTCCCTCCTGGAAGAATTGTTTAGTAGCCATAAAACTGCAACCTTTGTCCGCAGGTGTCCCAGCATGCCAGCTTGGGATTGCTGCAGGCTAGCACTGTACAGTGCCCTGACTGTTGCGTGCTCATGAATAGCTGAATATTTGCGCTTTTGTTTGTCTGTAATTTCAGCCACAGGACTACATCCGTGCGCTTCAGTGGTTGGGATCTGCATGTATTGCGTGTGTGATCTCGCATTATGGGTGTATCTCAGGCACTAGATCAGTGCCGTTTCCAGCTCAAAGTATCCATTAATAGTCCTCGAATGCAGTGAATTCAGAGAATTCCAAATGGTCTATTCAGAAGGGATTGCAAATCAGTGAAGAGAGTAATTAAGGCATGAAGGAATAATTAGCCCATACACCCTTTTCCTGGATATGCCCTGGGAAAAGCTGCTGCAGTTTGAAACACCTCCTAGACAAAAGTCTCCATTTCCAGATTTGCTTGTGACGACGCCTGTTCCTCCAAGCTCAGTCCACAAACTCACCGCCATCAAAACACAGAAGCAGAGGAGGCTGGCGGTGTGTGCTAAGTGGGGTTCAGGTGTTTTTCAGGAGCAGGTCCAAGGCCAGTCTGTCCTCTTGGTTGCCAGAGGTTGAAGAGGCAAGCAAACCGGCTCCCAAGAGATGTGTCAGGGACTTGATCCTTCAAACACATACTCTGTCGTTCTGATCCAGGACAGCCACATCAGGGCGACTCTGTTGTTGCTAAAAAATGGTAAAACCTAAGGGTTGCAGTCTTCAGAACTTACATCAGAGGTGACAATTAGCTGTAAGCTGTATAGGAAGTTCCACAACAATCCAATGCTGATGACTGTAACTGGATCAGAGGTCTAGATAACTGGTTTCCGTCTGTAATCTCTGTGGCTTAGGATGCAGGACAAATGATTAATATTTCCTGAGGACAGCCTTCCCAGGAACCAGAGACAAAGGCTCTGGAAAGAGCCCTAAGCAAGCAAAAACCATGCGTGCCAAGGTTTCTGTCAGCCTCGAAATCCTGTAAGAACTTACAGGCTCTCCTTCCTCTGCCCTCAGGCCTCTCCTTACTCTGGCCAGTTCTGCATCCCATTGTGACTTTGCTGCTGAGCTGGGAGGGCTTTCAAGGTGAACACTTCCACCCACTAGGTTGCATCTGCTGCAGCTTCTTAATGTTTCCTGGAATCTGGAGCTAATCCAGTTGAGCGTGGCTTTGATCTGAAGCTCTTGAAAGCCCGGTTCCCTTCATGTTGTGAGACTCAATTCTGCGCTCTTCATCCCAAGGCTTCAACCTAGGCAAGCTCCAGGATATCTGGTGGTTTGATGGGACAAGGTCCTATACATCATCTAATGAGTCTTCCTGAGGTTTGGATATCCTTCCCAGGTCTCTCAACTCAGTCTGTGCCCTAAGCAGAGAGTCCATACCGAGGTTGTCATGATCCACTGAAGCTTGACTGGAGGTGTTAGGACTGTAATTATCTTGATTCAGCTGCTAAGACCTCCTCTGACTTCTAGAATGTAACGCTACTCTTTTATGCCATCTCTTTCCTGTAACTGTGTTCTTTCTCTATCTTAGCTTCTTAATTTGGCTGTTTCTGATATGTACTGTAAGAGTTTGGCCTTTCTCACTGCATGGCCCTCCATCTAATTATTTTAAAATAACTTTATGTCTCTCCTCCCCCATCCCCTTGCACCCCCACATGAATTAATTTCCTCTCACCTTTTCTCCATTTCTTCCCCTCTCTCATTGCAGAAAAGAATCAGCTACCAAAAATGCGTCCTCCGGGCTTGAAGTTCCGCCTGAAGAAGCGCATACAAGCCCCACACTGAACTTGGCCACCCTTCTAATTGTTTCTCAGGAACAATGCAGCACTTCCAAAGGAACCGGTCCGCCTAGCCTCCTCATATCCCCAAGACAGAGAGAACCGAGTCTTCCTTCTGTCCTAAGCTTGGAGTGTTTGCCATCAAGAGAACAGCTCTGTCCATTCCCCCTTCCCCAACCCAACAGTTGCCCCAAAGTCCTGACTTGACTGAACTGATTGCTGGTGCTTTTCAAAATTTTCTATTTTGAATCCCCTACGGTGCTTAGATTTCCCTGGTTTGTCATTGACCAGCTGACGTTGTTTTGCATTTTTATTGTGTCTGTGACATTTTCTGTTAAGTAAAGAGGGGCGTTATGTCCCAGTCTCCTTCTTGCATCTCCTTGTTGTCCATGTGTCTGTTTTCTATTCATTCATCTGTTCAGTAAGCAGGTAATGGTTATGCCCATTCTGTATGTGCTATGTGGCTTCAGCTCTGTGTAGAGGTAGGATTGCTTAGAATTACAGCCGATTACAGTTTGACGTCCCCCTTCCTCCACCATCCTTGCTCCCTGTTGTTGATGTCAATTTCATGCTACTGGGAAATAAATCCAGAGAGGAGCCTGTAAATTTTAGAGGCTGCTGAGATGAATCATTGCTTTGGTAGTTGTCTTTTGCATGGAGACAAGTGTTCTGAGAAAAGGCTGGGAACATGTAGGCCCGACCTAGGCATAGAAATGGCATTTGTCACTAGCCTAGAATGAGATAACTCAAGGAAGAAGCAGGTAGAGGTCTGAAAGGGCCAGTCTGTACGATCAGCTGAATCTAGTGGGAAAATAACATGGCAGGGATAGGTCAAAGCTCTTCCTTTCTCTAAACTTCACTTCCTGCAGAGAATTTGCACAGGGAGGGGGAGCCTTAAACCTTCTGGGTATCTGGAGTCCATTACAGTTCAGGAGAAGTTATTTACCAGTTAATTCTGCTGATTTCATAAACTGGCCCAAACTTTAATCTCCCTTATAAGTGGAAAAGGGAGCTCAAGCGTGTGGTAAATGCTTGAGGCAAGGCGGGCTGGGGTGGGGGTTCAGGAGGCAGAACTCTTGCTGTGGGCCCACTTCTGTGGGTCCAAGTTGCTGAATCCCCAAACGGTTCGGCCAATCCAGACATCACCTTGCCACCTGTTGTAATAAACAGCTTGCTCGGTAGGGGGCAGCCTGCTAAGCAAGTGACGCTTCTCTCCTAGACAAAGACGAATGTTCGAAGGATAACGGCGGGTGTCAACATGAGTGCCTGAACACGTTCGGCAGCTACGAGTGCCAGTGCCGCAGCGGCTTTGTCTTGCACGACAACAAGCACGACTGCAAGGAAGGTGGGTCCTTTCGTTTTCTTGGTGAACGCCGCTCCCTCCCCTGCCCCCGTGTGGAACTGCAAATGCCCAGGCTAAAATCCATTGCACAGAAGCCTGCTTGAACCGAGTGATGCAAGACGTACATCTACGGTTAGGCAGTGTGTGCCATGCATAGACCTGCATGGCTTGTGCGGAGAAGGTTCCAGGTACAGTCTGTGGCAGCTGCACTTAAAGGCTCAGGTGAACAGGTGACAGGTAGGATTTCCCTCTCCCTGCAACCCACCCAGGTGAGTTGGAGTAGCATCGGAGTAGGACCGTGATGGAAAGGGAGTGATGCTGTGATGCAGCATTCACCTTTCCATAGAAGCAGGTATGTCCAGTGGCATGGGAGCCTATAGGGAGTGTTCCAGAATTTTCTAGAAGCTTCTAATGGTCCCCATTAGATTAGGTTGCCCCATATCCCAGTAAAGAGGCAGAGTACCACTTGCTTTCCATTTCCTCTGAAGAGGCACAGTTTCCCATAACAAGAAACCAGACTGGCTGCTTCCAATCAAGCCAGTGCAGTTCAGTGAATAGTGTGCCGGACTTGCCAGGTGAGAGCTGTTATGAGCTGTAGATTCACAACTGCCTGCACACCATTCTCTCTCAACCTCACTTCAGTGGTGGCTCCTTGCACAGAGCACAGAGCATGGCAGGATGAGCCACCATCTTGAGGGTGGAGGTAGAAAGATTCCAGATAACCGCTGTGTTTTTCTTATTGCCTTTGATTTGGCAGTTCACTTGTTTTTAGACTCAGAAATTCTGGTATTAGCACTAGTGCTCTGGCATAGTTGTGCAAAAAGGGTTGGCTGTCCAACAACATCTGGAAGGCCACCAATCGCCTGCTTCTGGCTTAGCAGTAGCGTGCATGCCTCACATGCCGAGGTTGTGGACTCGGTCCCTGGACTCTTCAGTCAAAAAGAAAAGAATCCAGTATCACGTGATGCAAATGACTTCTGCATGAGACCATGAAGATCTGCTATTCTGGGCCAGAGAGTAAATCGTCTGATGCGAAGCAAGCCACTTCTTGTGTTTCCATTGAGACCTGTTTGGTAACAGCGCTTTGTGGTGCTCCTACATCTGATGGATAAAGAGTGGGGTGGAATTAGGGACAGAGGCTGCTTGCACTCAGCTGTGCTCCAACTTCTGCTTCTTACAGCTGGCTGTGATCACAAGTTGACCTCCATCACCGCCACCATCACCAGCCCAAACTGGCCTGATAAGTACCCAAGCAAGAAGGAGTGTACCTGGACCATCACAGCCACAGCTGGGCACCGCATCAAGCTGGTAATGTATTGGACCGCAGAGGCCAAGACTAAGAATACATGCATATTCTAGATGAATGGCATTCCAAACTGTATTTATTTATTATTTATGTATCGCAAGCTTTTATATAGCATTCTCTATAGCCAATTGGACCCTCAGAACAGTTTACAAGATTAAAAAATACAATATAATGATAACATAACAAAACACTAATAATACATTTCAATAACAACACATTTCAGCCGTTCAGCACCTGAGCTGCCCATTGAGAGCAAATAAAAGTAAGAGTCAACATAAACAACCATATAAAAAATAAAACCGCAACCCAGCAAGGTATATAACATAATTTTTAAAATTAATTGCTTAACACTTAAAATACTGGGAGAATAAGAACGTGTTTGCCTGCTGCTGCAAGGTGTCACTCTTAAATCAGTAGCGCTTTGATCTTGCCCCCTCTGGCGGATTCTCACATCAGAATTTTCACGAGTGGGAGGGGAGTCCTTTGCGGAGCATAACAATCTAAAATGTAAGAAATAGCCAAGACCAGATTAGCAAGGTTAGCACTACTGTATCTCTGGCCCTCGTGCGCTACGCCAGTGAGGAGTGGCATTCTCGCTTCACATGGTCTGTTACAGTGTTCCTCAGTAAAAGCTACAGACTTCTGAGGCATGTCACGCGATCCCTGCGACAGGACCTCGCAGAAGTATCCCCCCCCCCCCGCTGACTTATCTGCATTTTGCCACGTTGCAATCTGGAAATGAAATGGTTTTAATTGACAGAGTTGCCCCTTGATGTACATGAGACAATCAATACCGTGAAGGTGCAGAATAGCTTTGCTGTGGCACAAGCGTTTAGTAAAGAGACGAAACCGGCACTTGCTGGTTGCGTTTGCTGTGACACGGTCAATTAGGCACTGGTACATCCCATTATCTCCAGCAGTCTCACATCGTAAGTAGTTGACACATACCTTTGCCATAGCAACTCAGATTAAATACAGCATATTGGAACAAACAGCGTCACCAAAGAGCTATCAAAACAGTTCTGGGATAAAGCTTTGCAGAAGCAGCAGTGAGAACTTAGATAAGGAGGGCAATAGTGAGAGGGGCAGCCAAGAAGCCAGTGGCAACTCTGAAGGAGCAGGAGAGAGTCACAGAGAGTCAGGAGAAAAGCATCGCCTGCAAAGTTGGGCTTTATGGAGGAGTGGCATTAAAATGCCACCGCTGCACCAAGCCCATATCAAAGCCGGTTTGCGAAAAGGCTTGTGAGGGACCCAGCGAGCAAGTGGGAGAAGCGTCTCTGGTATGACGAGATAAAATTGAATGTCTGGGCTTCGCTGCAAAGGTCTTCATGTGGGGATGGAGGTAGGAGGCAGTGGCGGAAGACCGTGGAACTGGCTGGGCATGTCATTTCAGAAGAGGGTGTGCAGCCCAGCCGTTCAACAGGAAACTGAGCTGCTGGAGAGAAGGGGGTCACACCTTCTACCATCTGTAAACAAATTTCCTTTTTCAGACCTTCGTGGAGCTAGATATCGAAGGCCACCAAGAATGCACGTATGACCACCTTGAGGTTTACAATGGAAAAGACGCAAAAGCTCCTGTCTTAGGTCGATTCTGTGGATCTAAAAAGCCAGAGCCTATTATTTCTTCCAGCAACCGGATGTTTCTTAGGTTCTACTCAGACAATTCTGTCCAAAAGAAAGGCTTTGAGGCAACCTATACGTCAGGTAACATTCTACCTTGGTTCATGGCTAAACCTGGGTTGCCCTAAAGGAGGAACCAATGTATCAAATGTTATTATCTCCATAGTACTATCCCCATATACTTGGTACATCAGGAGTATCTCCAGAGTAATGGAACAGTTTTAGGCTGAAGTCTTTTAAACGACAAAGGTCAAGACATACAGGTCAAGACATACAAGACGTTCCCAAGCTGGGCTTTGCAGGAGGAAAAAAACCTCTTGCATAAAGAAGTCTTGACTTTTGTTGACATTTACATCGATTTGGCATAGATTTATTTCATATGATAATGGACATAGAAAGGGACATTCAACCCCAACTTCAGCTCCCATCATGCACAAGTATTGAGAATACTGGATGATGAGATTTTTCTGCATAGAACAGACCTTAAAATCTTTGGTTAAGCTTCCTTGATCAGCCAGTATTAATCAATTAATTGTGCTTGTTATGCTGTATGTTATTAAAGCTCAATAACAGAAAGTTGTCACCCTTCACCTTTCCTTCATGATAAAAATGGAAAGGTTTTGGAGAAGGTCTGTGTTTCTCTGCACAGCCTTACACATTTAGTATAAAGTGGGCCCACATTAACAATTTAATATTCACTAACAGAGATGGCTAAATACATTGAATTGCTTATTATTATTATTCATGTGCCACCTTTTTTTTCTTTGCAAGGAGCCCAAGGCAGCCTCCATGATTCTCCTCCTCTCTAATTTTACCCTCACGACAACCCTGGGAGGGAGATTAGGCTGAGAATACGTAGCTGGCCCAAAGTCACCCAGTGCGCATCATGGCCGAATGGGGACTTGAACGTGGATTCCCCAAGTCCCAGCCCACCATGCTAACAACAGTGCCCTAGGAAGCACATCTCCTTTGTGTCCTCGTAGCTCAGTGGCTTAGCCCCGGTTGTGCATGTAGGTCACCCCCTTCTGTTTCAAAGCATTAAAAGATGCTACCTGCCAGAGCAGATTCTACATGAGGCATTTAGCGTGCATTTATCCTTTCCTATTTGTAGTGGTATATGAGTTCTTGAGATTACAGCATGACACCAGTTTTGCTTCAGTACTTCAAGAGCCCTCTCGGTGAGGTTGGTTTGTTTTTTCAAGAGCAAAGAAAATATGGTATTCCTCCTGAAAGTGAAAGAAAACACTTCTGCTCATGCGTATTTGTGTTATTCCACTAAACCATTCTGCCACCTAGAGGTTAAGTAGTGGGAAGGTGGGGAAATAAATGTTCTTCATGTGTTTGGATCTTAATTCTGCAATGAAACTGAAAGTAGATCAGCCTCAGCAGCAGCTCTGTGCTGAAAAACTCTAGATGGCTGAACAGCCCTAGGAGAACTGCTGTCTCTGCAAAACTGCGCTGCTTGGAAGCAAGGAAAGGATTATGTTTCTGTTTGCTCGCAATTTACTCCTCCGTGCAACTTTAGACACTGCACAAATGGGCAGACATTGATTTTTGGGAGGGCTGCCTCTCTTTTGGACCAAAGGTCCCAGTTTGTGTGTTCTCCTCTCCAGAATGTGGCGGCCAGATGCGAGCTGAAGTGAAAACCAAGGACCTCTATTCGCATGCCCAGTTTGGTGACAACAACTACCCGAGCGGTTCAGACTGTGAATGGGTCATTGTGGCCGAGGAAGGTTACGGGGTGGAACTCATCTTCCAGCTCTTTGAGATCGAAGAAGAGGCCGACTGCGGCTACGACTACATGGAGCTCTTTGACGGCTATGATGGGACAGCCCCACGCCTGGGACGCTACTGCGGTTCTGGGGTAAGCAGCCCACCCTCCTGCAACCCTCGTGAGAGGCCTTCCGTGGCAGTGAACATTCCTGTGCTTTAAGGGCTAGGGTTGGCATGGGGGCAGGGCCAGACAGTGGCTGACCGGTTGGCTGTATGGCCAAGTGGATGCCCAAACCCAATAGAACGGCCAGACAGAAGGGCAGGCAGAATTTAAAGGGGCTGCTGATTTGCGGCAATCCCTGCGATTCAGTCCAGGTGGGGAGGATGAGGACAAAGGCAATGGGACCAGTGAGGAAAGGGCGCTGCCCCTCCCTCTGAGGAGGCTTCCCGGCCGCCATCAATCGCTTTGGCCTCTGATACAAATCTGATACCATTGAGCACATGCCGAGTTTTCTTGGCGCGTGTTTTGGATCTGGGGGACAAGACGAGGCAGAGTTCTGTGCATGCTGGAAAGGACAGCATTTTACCTCTGAAGCGGAGAAGTCCTGATTTCCTGGTTGGTTACGTGAGCGCTTGTTCCCTTTAGCCCCCGGAAGAGGTCTATTCTGCAGGCGACTCAGTGATGGTAAGATTCCACTCCGATGATACCATCAGTAAGAAGGGCTTCCACCTACGGTACACCAGCACCAAATTCCAGGACACGCTGCACACACGGAAGTGACTCCTGGCTGTCCAGCCCCCGTAATGGCGAGCAGGCCTTCCGCCACCGGAGGGACACGTCCCTGCCGCTTGCCAAAAGAAAAAAAGACACCCATGGAGAAAATTCAAATAGACTGGAAGGAGAAATACACAGTACACCTCAGAGTGTGAAACACTCGCACAAATATACAGGTGCTGCCGGCCACTCATGCGGACTAGGCTCGGGGGAGTGGGGGGAGTCCTTTCCTGTTAAATAATGTCAATTTCTGTGCCTCTTTCATTTCTTGAGCAGAATGTCTCCAGGACTAACCACTTCACAGTTTCCATTTACCAGTTTGATTTTTTTTAAAAAAATTGTCTATGCTGCTCTCCCTGAATCCCGGAAGTCATGGTTTAAAATCATGCTGGGAAGCCCACCCTATGGCAGACGTTTTCTTTATAAGCTCCATGAAGCAGGTTTACCAGCACAGATGTCTGAATATACAAGCCCAAATGCAGCGGAGATGCCGCCCTGCTTGCAGAAGATTCTATCTGTAGTAACAATGTAATAAACACCCTTTCTTGTACTTCTAAAGAGATGCCCTCAGCCTCTTTAAAGCTTTACCATTTGTGAGGGGTTTTTTATTCTTCTGTTTTCAAAAACAATGTAATTTGAAACATTTCATGCTCCCTCCTTAATTTTTTATTATTATTAAATTAAAATTTGAATTGGAACAAAAGCACAACCTGCAGTTCCCACTTATGCAGTCCAGATCTAAAATCAGGGGAAATGGGACCACCGGCATTCCCAAATCAGCCTTATTTTCCCGGGATTCTTTCTGCTTGCTGGTTCTGGGCAACTGTATCTTCTTGAAGCCCTTTCAGAGACCCTTTTGGCCAATTCTTACCTTAATTTTTGTAGAAGCGTACTGTTTTCAGGTGACCTCTGTGACTGCTTTTGGTCGTCCTGTCCCGTCCCGTCCCGTCTTTTGCAACCCACCATTCACTTAGCATACCTGTGGCAATGAGCAACTCTCCCCAGCGCCTTTCTCGGACTGTGCTATGAGCTTTCCCTTGGCATTCATACACCTGATGGCATTTGTTGTCTGGATATTTGGGTTCTTCTCTGTTAATTTTGGGCAGATTAAGCCACTCCGAAATTGCTGCAAATGTATTTCTGTTGCGCTGTTAATGTCAGGAGTGCTCTGCGGTCGTGGAGTGCAGGACCATGGGCAAGAGGCGATCCAGGGGTGTTTTGCAAGTTTTTATCACCGTTTGACTTTGAAATGGGAAAGAGACTTGTTCATTCTGCTGAGTGGCTTTTGCAACCGTACAGAAGCTGCCTCCCTCACCAGGCCATCTGGCCATTTGGGGTTAAATCTCTTCTCTCAGTCATGAAGCCCTTGGGAAAGAAGAGCTTCTTTCCAAAACCAACAAGAATTTTAACCTGGACTTTCTGGGCCACATCAGGGTCACCTATTTTCATCATCTTTCTTTACTCTTGGGGGATATTACATATGCATGACATTACAAAGAGGACCATATGTGAATCACCCGTGGCTATTCAGAGGGAAACACAGCAACATTCTCGGTTTGCAGACCCCACTTCTTGCCGCCCGCCCCACCCACTGGAAAGGAGGGCTGAGCTGCCCCTGCCCTTGGAATCATTCCAGCCACATGTGCCTCCATATCTGTGTCTCCTAGTTCTACCTGTCAAAATACATTATGCAGGGATTCCATCTTTCCTTCCTTGGTTTTCTTTTTCCTGTAAGAAGGTAAAAAAGATGGAATACAGACCTGGGAAAATACAAGAGGGTTGTTCAAATGGAAGACCATGATGTGTTGACTGCCCCACCATAAAATTCCATCAAGGATGCAGGAAGATTCCAGGTAAAAACTTCACCTGGAAGGCCTGCAGATGAGTCCAGCTCTGGTTAACATACCCACAGGTAAATTTGCCCCGGGTTGCAAATTCATTCACTGGTTGCATTGCTACAAGGGGCAAATGATGAAACCTTACATATGGTAAGTGAGAAGGAGAAAATAGAGCTTTAACTTTACTGTGCAAAATATGTGGTGCTTATTCTTACCGGTTCTAATATCCCTTGGAATTGAGAGGATGGCCACTCAATCATCTGCAGAGTATGTCTTGGGAATAGCAGGCACTTAATCCTGGACGCCATGTAGGGTACCGCTTCACTGCACACCTTGCAAACAACCGCAACAACAGGTCTTCCAGCCCTCTTGGCTCAGAGAAGGCTACATTTAGAAAATTTCATTTTGTCTGTAATGGAAGGGAACAACACGATCATCACCAGGTTTCCAAGCTGCACAGTTTTGTTCCTGACATTTAACCTAGGAACACCCAGGAAAGAAATGACTGTTTTTGCCGGAAACATCCTAAAGCACCCAGAGAGTCTTGGCTGTGGGGCAACATGGAAACAATTATTATTATTATTATTATTATTATTATTATTATTATTATTATTATTATTATTGCTGTAGCAACTGCATTTGGAAGCATCACTATTACATGTGTTCTTTAAAACCTACTCTTCATAAGAATGTAAGAACATAAGCAACACATTGGCAAACCAGCTGCCCCCAAGGATAAGGATACAAACAGGGCAAGAGTGCCAAACAGCATTATCCCACCCATGTTCCCCAGCACTTGGTGCATACAGGCATACCGTCTCTGATATTGGACGCAGCACACAGCCATTGCTGATGGCCTTCCCCTCTATGAATTGGTCCAATCCCCTCTTAAAGCCACCCAAATTGGTGGCCCTCATTACATCTTGTGGCAGTGAATACCATCGGTCAACAATATGCGGTATGACGGAGGGCTTCCTTTTACCTGTCTTCAATCTCCCACCTGTCACCTTCATGGGATGACCCCATCTGGGTTCTAGTATTAGAGGAGAGAAAATTGCCTCCTTTTCACAGTCTCCACACCTCCAGGAAGCCCTGGGCAAGTGCATGTGGTTTTTCCCTTCCTTTGTTTCGTTCTGACCATGACCTGTGAGGTCAGTGAAGGCATAGGACCATGACTAGTCCAAGGCCAACCAGTGAATTTTGAAGGCAAGCAGAGTTCATGAAGCCAGGCCTTCCCAGTGCGCATCCAGTACACCCTCCGACTGCTTGGGTCAGCTGGGTCAGTTGTAATTTTCAGGGTGAGCCAGTGAAAATAAGGTGACTTGCCCAAGAAGCTGAGTACACAGGAATGGAGGGAGTCTGAGCACCGGAATGCAAACAAAGGACTCTCTTGACCACGGCAGTGGTGCTATCGGGTTGCCCTTTGGGAGAGACAGAAACCTGGAAGAGGCAAAGGGGGGTGCCTTGTAAATGCACTGGCACTCACAAGCACCCCAGTGGAGAATCCACCTTCACTTCAGGGCTGGTCAGGGGGGGAAATCAGAGCATTCATCCTCTGCCGGGGAACAAAGAGGACCAGATCCCTGCACGTGCCTCCTAAGCAGAAAAACCATGATATTGACCCTGACGGGGGCTTTACATGGGCAGCCACAGCTGACTAATTGAGTCAGGAGCTCCACACAAACAATGGAAGAATGGGTGGGATTTACCTACAGAGGAATATATGGGATTTACTAAGCCAGTGAAATAAAAATGGAAAGGTACATTCAAGCAGTGTGAGAACGAGGAGTTCCTTTCCCATTATCTCCAACCTATTGTGTTCCTTCCATGAGAGCAGGCAAAGGGCCATTTCAGATTGGACAGTGGTGGTCTGGATGGGGCTGGAAATGTCCCCATGCAATGGCAGCTCCGAATGGAGAAGTCGCTCACCACACAGAAAGCCTTCACATCAACCTCACATTTCTGCTAGTGGCCAGAGCCAGTCCAAAACTTCTCTACGCAATGGAATGGCCCTTCATGAGCACTCTTTCTATCAGCCATATTTCTAGCTGCATCCATGTGATAAACTTGGATTCACACGATCCAGCACCTAGGATGCTTGGATGTCGACAGCGGGAGTGCCGTTCAGTCATGGCCCAACTGATCGGAACGCACAGGTGACCACTCGAAGGACGACAATTACAGGTAAGCAGCCTGTCTTTTTCTTGCTCAGGTCTCACTGACACATACAAATATGCAGTCGTTAGATTGACTTGGCTGCTGTGCTCTCTTAGATTCCCAGGATGTGTTGACACACGCATCGCGCTGGCGACTCTCCTGTTGAGGACTCTGGGGCTTGATTCATTAAGCAAAAATTCCACTTGGATATTTCATAGCATGGAGTTAACACACAGTGTAAGAATGCTTATGACATCATCTCTGTGGCCTCTGATGTCACAGAACCCCTGCTCCCTGTGGAGCACCGCACGTCATGGAGAGGCAAGGTGGACATGAACATGGGGTAGCAGGGAAGCAGCAGTAGAATGGAAATCGATAAGACCAGGTGGCGGGAATTGGGCCTCACCCCCAGGCAGCTCTCCAAGAAGATCGGGGTCACCTATTCTATGGCAGAATTCATCACACAGAGCTACCGCACACCTGTGGAAACCCAAGGCCCATGCGTGGCTGGTGCCCGCTCCACTCCACGAGGGCGGAAGTGCTCCAGGAAGAAGCAGCCTGCCTGCAACATTTCATGCAAAAGGAGGCGTGGCGAAAAAAGAGCCGGTCCTGCAGCCCTATCAACACCTTGTGGCAGAAAGAGAGAACGATCAGAAGAGGAGCAGAGTGACTGTGAAGTTCCTTCTACATCTTATGCTTGCACCAGAACAAAGCAGGTGTGCAAGCCTGACGATTGTTCATGCGCCCCTCCAAGGATGAATGCAAGCTACAAAGCCCAGTCTAACTGCCAGGACTCCTCCTCTTGTAGCAGCTGTTCTATCCCAAAGGCAAAATGTTCAGGGAAAAGGAGAAGATGGAAACATCAAGGAAAAAAGAAAACAAGGTCAAGGTGCATGAAGACCATCAAACGCAGCCGGCCTGCTCCATCCTGCCAGAAGAAACGCCGATTCTTCCCCATTGGCATCCACCTAGATGTGCCTTTAAATATAATTCTGGAGGAAGGGGATGGCATAGAATTTGAAGATGAGATCCAGGAGTGCAGGAAATGGAAAAACAAGGACACGGCTGTCCAAGCACCATCCCTCCAGGTCGACTGTGGACACCTAAGTGATCAGGGTCAAAGACCTGAACAAGCTGCAGGAATATGCAGAGAGGAAACAGAGGACCAAGAAGAGACTGAGATGGAGGATTGCCCTCCATGTGAGGACTACCGTTCGGAAGAATCAACAAGCTGCAAAATGCAAGCCCAAGCCAAGGATGGTTGCCAAGTTTCATGGTGGGAAAGGATCCAAGAGTGCATGATTTTCCTTGAAACTCTTTTGTCCTCAGCTATAAATAAATGTTAGTGGAAGGCTGTCTTGGGGAACTTTATTTTAGTGTGCTTTGATCTGTCCACCTGGAGCTGTAAGCCGTGGCTTGTGAGTAAGGTAAAATCAGGTAGAAAGAGCTGGGGGATATTTAGCTCAGTGGCAGAAGAAATACTTTGAGTGAGCAGGTTTCCAGATTCAATTGCTGCATTTCTGGAGGTCACACGGCTTGCTGGGAAAGACCCCTGGCAAAGATCGTGGAAAGCAACTTGGCTTGCCAAAGTCTCGCTGTCAGGTGGCCAGCTGTGATTCTGCCTTTCGCTTAGGATGTTGTCTGGGTTCAGATGGCACACTAAGTTATGCCGCATTTCCAAAACCCTTCAACAAGCCATGAGACCTTCAAGGGG